ACCAGCAATACATTTTCGTAAAAAAAGAAATATTAGCAGCAATACATTTTTGTAAAAGAAATTACTAATGATCCTGCGAAAATTAAATTATTTTTCTCTTTTGCGCCTTAAGATATTTTTATATATTTCTTTTCCTCGATTTCAAAATTTTTGAGAGGAAAAAATTCAACACGGGGATGAAATTTACACATTTTTACATTAATAACAATACAGGAAGAGACAAAATACACTGGTGTGTACACATATAACATCAATGTTTTCTAGCTCCCACTTTCTCGAGATGCACCCCGGGTATCTTAACTGTCTCTCCCTAATGTTAAGTATGTTTCCTTTTTATTTCCATTTTCTCCAAAATCTCGTCGTTTCCCACATGTTCGGTCCATGATGTCATCAGTATCCTTCTGAAGAACCACATTTGTTTTGTTTGAAGCCTCTTTTTTTATTTTTGAGGAGATTGCCCAACATTTACTTCCATATAACATTCTGAGCATAAATATTGCTTTCATTGTTCTAGTGTCTTTGAGTAAATGGGACTGTTCTTGTCGTATCTCAGGTTTGAGTTTGCTGCGCGGTTTAGTCATTAGAATTCAGATAATGAGTTCTATTATATGGCTCGTTCGGTTGGGACGCCCCGAGGCGGTGTAATGGTCAGCAAGCTTGTCTCGCTAGAACAATTACGCCTGAGTAGTGAGTTCGATCCTCCATACTTTCGGCCTTGTACCTCATCTAAGCTACGCTTGGAAAATCATTAGGTTGATTGTTCGATGGCGTTTGCATCTGTTTACAGAGGCAGGGCTATGAATATAGATCTACATAGGTCTTTAATTGCAAAGTTTTGAAACTATTCCCAGCCGCAATGAATAACTCAACGAAGTATCAGCGAGCAAAGTTTTTTCTTGCAGTTATGACGTAACAGGCCACTACATTTTTGTTTTGTTTCTAACGATGTTTTTTCTGTCTTTTAATGCTCTGCTTAGCTTTTGGAAGGCATCTTTGTCTATCCCAATAGATCTTCGGATATCAGTGCCGCACTTTCCGACCTTTATTAGAAGACTTCCCAGATATTTCAATTTTTGTACTTGTTTGATTTTGGTATTTCCAAATTGTATGTTGCATTTTGAGCTCAGCCTTCTGCTATCGACCATGCACCATATATATAGACGATCTTTAAAATTAATCGTCATAAAATATCTGTCTTCTTGCCCTTTATATTTAGTCCTTTCTTCTGTCTTTCCTCACTATCCTGTGTATTTTTTTTTGTTTTCTAGCTCCTATCAACATCGAGTCATCTGCATATATTATGATGTTAAGATTGTGGTCGCCAATAATAAATCCTGGTAGAACATCTAATTCGTTTAGACTTGCCTCGCTGTATAGGTTAAATAAATTCAGTGAGAAGACACATCCTTGTCTTGCACTCCTTTCTATTTTTGTAAATATCTGCTCAACTCATTTTCCATCCTTATGCAGGTGGTTTGCTGACATGGGAGGTTCTTGATTATTCTAATATCCTTCCCAAAGTTGCTGAGCAGTCCTAACAGATCTTTGTAACATAAATTATTGAACACCTTTGTGTAATCTATCAAGCACATGTACACGTCCTTCGGTATTTGCGTTGTTCTTTCTGATAACATTCTGAGCATAAATATCGTGTTGGTTGTTTATTGTGAGATCGGAACTACCTACACAATAGACTCTTCCAGGCCTATATTAAGTATGCGACACAACACTCTAGTGACAGAGACAGAGACAGAGAGAGTCAGAGAGAGTCGCGTACGACTACCAGTATTGGACACTAACATATAGTAAGCTCCGCTTACACTATCTCTGTAACCTGTTGTTAATATATCTTTCTTACATCTAATCCGTGTCCGTGTTTTACTTCTGTGGTCCCGACTTTGGCCCCACATCAGTGGCGACGAGGATTCTAGAAACGCACTCACGGCGAAATCTCAATACCTTACCAGTTCCACATCTGTTACGACGAAGATTTCGAGAAACGCATTCACGTCGAAAACCGCAATACCTTACCAGTCCCAGATCATTGTTCCAGTGTCTTTGAGTAAAACGGACTGTTCTTGTCGTATTTTAGGCTTGATTCTGCTGCGCGGCTTATTCGTTAGAATTCAGATGAGGAGTTCTGTTATATTGCTCATTAAGCTGATTGTCCGATGGAGTTTACATTCGTTTGCATCTGGTTACTTAGGCAGTGCTATGTATATAGATCTACTTAGGTTTTAATTGCGAAGTTTTAAAACTATTCACATACGCAATAAATAACTCAGCATTCATCTGTGAGATTAAAACACCAAACAGTCAGTTATGTGCTATGCTTAATACACGCGTAGGCGATCATGTAGCTTCAGATACATGAGTGACGAGGCATATTTTTTCCTCGAAGTAGGTTGCCATTTCTTTCTGCGGTAGACCAGTTGCCATCCAAGGCTATAGAACTCGGTCTATTCTGTTATTTAGCCACAGCTGGGGGTGGGGAGTAGAGGAGGATTCATACCTTTCCAAAGGGTATTAGCACGTAAGTTAAGGTAATGGATTCGTCTGGAATTCGAACTCGGACCTCCGATTCTTCAATCCGAGACGCTCTTCCAATGGTTTAAAAAGTAAAGAAAATATAAAGATGTCGGCTTTACATCTAACATTCAACACTTATTTGTATCATTCTTAGTATTTACCTGACATCCTCTTTCAGGCGGGATCTGACACAATACCTTTTCTGGGTGGTGGTAATGCGCCTACGTATCCCAACTGGACAAGAATAAAATTGCCCCGTCTCCGCTACCACAGTCATGCTCGGGCAATTATTAAACGGACACAACCTAAATTAAGACAGTGAGGAGAGTGTTGCTGCAAGGTTGGAATCTCCAAGACCAATCAAATTCTCATAATTTATAAGAAGGAAGGACAGAGACTATATTTCTTTCTGTGCTTATTCTCTTTTTTACTTTCATTTCCAACAAACGAAGCTCCGAAAAATGTTTTGTGTCAGTTGGAAGGGCCGCATCACCAACAACGCGTTCTTCTATCGAGCATCTCCCCCAGCATCGAGGTTACCATCTTTCAACCTCGTCTCCGCAGAGCGGGTCATGTATTTAGAATGCGCCCCACTCGACTCCCACCTATCATCCTGTTTGGAGAACTCGCCAGCTGTAAGAGGATACGCGAAGACCCAAAACGACGCTTCAAGGATCAGCTGACACAGGTCAACATCGACTATGAGATCAGTTGTTGCAAATCGGCCTTCCTGGCGTAGCACCATTCGAGATGGGAGCGAAACTTTTGAGTACAACCAACATGATGAAGATCTGCAACATACTATCAGGAGAGACCGACTCACCAAGCCTTGTCCACCATCGGCACGCCTCTGTAACTCCTGCTTACGACTCTTCAGGGGTAGGCAGGTCGTTCACAGCCATATCCACGGAAATAACGGAATAAGGAGAAGCGATGACGATCCCGATGCGCAGATGACGTTGACTTTCATTTCTGTTTTTTTTTTGTATATTTTCACGCAGAGGATTTAGTCAATTCGTTCTTTCTGTTTATTTTGTAACATATTTTATTCTATTGTTTCATAACGTATTCTAAAACATGAAATACTCTGAAAATGTCACGATTTTACTCTTAAGCCAATTAATTGAATAAGCTTATGGAGAGTTCTACGATAATAAACTATCCGTAGAATTTCCCGTATCGTATTGTCAAATATATGAGAACTTTAACAAGGTATTGAAATAACAATAATAAATGTGAATGCTACTCGTTATATTAAGAAGTAAGGGGGTACAAATGAAACTATTTGAAATTGAAAGCTTTTCCATTCCACTGAAACAGATATTAAACACTTATATCCTACCGCCTTTCTTTCTTTCTTTCTTTCTTTCTTTCTTTCTTTCGTTCTTTCTTTCTTCTCGCTGAACCCAGGCAGCTTTCTGATATGTCTTTGCTGTCTCTCCACGCGATCAAAATGGAATAATCTTATATTCATTTCTTTCTTTCTTTCTTTCTTTCTTCGTCTCACTGAACCCAGAAAGCTTTCTGATATGTCTTTGCTGTCTTTCCACGCGATCAAAATGGAATAATCTTATATTCATTTCTTTCTTTATTTCTTTATTTCTTTCTTTCTTTCTTTCTTTCTTTCTTTCTTTCTTTCTTCGTCTCACTGAACCCAGGCAGCTTTCTGATATGTTTTTGCTGTCTTTCCACGCGATCAAAATGGAATAGTCTTATATTCATTTCTTTCTTTCTTTCTTTATTTCTTTCTTTCTTTCTTGTTGAAACCAAGTAGTGTCTTTTATGTAATTTTCTTCTTTTCTCGCAATCAAAACGGAATATTCCATTATTTATGATGTATTGATAGAAGACGTTATAATATTCGTTATTCTTTTCTCATTTAAACCAAGTAGTCGCTCTTTTGTCTTCCAATGCGCTGAAAACAGTTTAGTCCATTAATTATTAAGTTTTAATCCCTTTTTTCTTTTTAATCTTTTTTTCTTTTTTAATCCCTTTTTTCTTTTTTAATCCCTTTTTTCTTTTTTAATCCCCTTTTTCTTTTTAATCCTTTTTTTCTTTTTTAATCACTTTTTTTTCTTTTTTAATCACTTTTTTTCTTTTTTAATCACTTTTTTCTTTTTAATCCTTTTTTTTCTTTTTTAATCCTTTTTTTTCTTTTTAATCCTTTTTTCATTTTTAATCCTTTTTTCTTCTCCTTTAATTCCTTTTTTCTTTTTTAATCCCTTTTTTCTTTTTAATCCTTTTTTTTCTTTTTTAATCCCTTTTTTCTTTTTTAATCCCTTTTTTATGTTCGTTTTTAATAGTTTCTTCTTTCTCTCTTTTGTTCCTTAAAATATTTTTCTTCCATTTTCTTTCATCGTTCTTTTCTTTCTGAAGATTTTCTTGATTTCTTTCTCTACCCTTAACACCTTTTTTTTTACAATTTTTCTCTTTTCTTTCTTTCTTACTTTTTTTTCGTTTCTTTATTTAAT